ATGCAAAAAAAAACTTATCCTGAACTAATCAATTACAACTGACAGCAAGAAAATCCAGTGACCTGCCACAGAATTGCTGGAGGAATTGATTTTAAGCGATATGGCGTTTCCCACTCCTGCTCACGCAAATCCCCATGTATACTGTTTACAGCCAGTGATGGCTGATAAATACAAGTGATTGGATGGCAATAGAGCAGCCCGATCGCTTGTATAGTGCCTGGAAGTGTGCAACCCCCTCTGCTGCCGTTGCCAGCTATCCTGGGTTCTGCCAGGACTGGCACGGATAGTCTCTGCACTGAGATCTGAGGGAGATCAACACACTTCCACTGGCTGATCTCCCGTTCTGATCACTTCTGCCTACAGTCTGTCATTTCTCTGGCTGTTGTTGCCAGAGTAGAAGCTGATGAAGCAGATTTCTGCTTCATCCGCTTCTTTTGGATCTATAGGTGACATTAGGGCTCTTATAAAGTGGACCTGTTACATCCTGTTTGCTAACTTTTATTTTATCACATGGGGATAACAAGCTTACTATGTGATAAAATATTTTTTTTTACAAAAGTGTAAAAATTAAAGTCACATATAATTTTTAAAATTATAAACACAGAAATTTTGTTTAACATCCTCGGCTTCCATATACATGCACATACAACACAGCCATGCATCGTGTGCACCTACATGTGGAAATCATGATTACACCACACACGTTACCTATCACTGCAAATGTCGTAGTGCGGCCAATAATTCTAGGGCCATCCATCACTGTTAACACTCAGTGGTGTATTTTGGTTTTGTGCTGCCCTAGGCAAGACTAAACTCGGGCGCCCCCCCCCCATCTAAAATTGCCCGCCTTTTCCTGTTTAAGACCCACCCTCTCTTCTGTAAACTCCACCCCTTCCTGTTTAGGCTCCACCTTTTCCTCTGTACATCAAAAGTGGACAAGTGCCTATATTTTGTTGTTTTGTGTACCAGTTCAAATGGAACGGAGCTCTCGCCCTTCCACCTCCCTCTGGTCACAGCCCCGCACTCTCCGTCCTGGACGGGCACTTCCTGGTGGTGTACCAACATTGCAAAGGCTTACACCTTGGTCACCTCGATCCTCTCCAGAGGCCACCTTCTCTCCGGTCCCCGGACTCACATGTAAGTGTCAATTTTCCTGGCTTTAATTTTGACTGGGCTGAGGCACGAGGGGGAGACGCGGAGACTGTGTACTGTGTACTTGTGCAGCAGCGTACAGGGGAAGAAAGAGAGGAAGATCGGGACCAGAAGATAATGTCCTGTGCTGACACTGACATTAAACCGCGAGGGGAGGGGGAGGAGGGGGAGACTGTGTATACTAAGTTGTGCAGCAGCGTACAGGGGAAGAAAGAGAGGAAGATCGGGATGAGAAGGTAATGTCCCCGACTCCCGTGCTTACACACTGACCGTAAACGTAAACCGCACATACAGTATCTCGGGGTCTGATGAGGAAGCTGTTCACTGAGAACCAGAACGGCTGCGGCTTCCTTGTCAGACCCTGAGATATGAACAGTCCGAGCTGCCGAGCATTTACCTCATGTCCGAAGCTGTCCCGCTCACTGTCCCCTCTTCTCATCCTCTGCCTGGGGGGCCGCCCCCCTGAAAAATGCCGCCCAAGGCAAACGCCTACTTTGCCTCGTGCTAGATACGCCCCTGTTAACACTAAGAGGGTTATTCACAAAGCGTCCGAATTCAGGCAGTCGAGTGAATAACCCAGCCGAAGTGAAGTGAGCCGAACAATGTTCATCGTCTAAAATCAGTCGTACATCAGCTGTACATCGGCTGTCTTCGGCTGCCTTCGGCCAGCCGAACATGCTCTGCATGTTCGGATGAGCTGAAGTGCAGAAGGAGTTCGACTCCAACATCTGGATCGGTTGAGCTGAAGCTCCGGCATCTCACTCGCTGCCGTTCGCCCCTATTCTCATAGGGGCAGAACGGCAGTGAGTGAATAGCTGAATGCCGCCGACTGGCATTCGGCTCGGCTATTCTGCTCGCTACCTCTGAGGTAGTGAGCAGAATAGAAAAAAATGTAAACAAATGAAAAAAAATGTTTCAACATTATTTCAATAAATGTAAAAAAAAAGAAAAAGAAAAACAAGTTTAGAAAATAATAAAATAATTTCTAAAGAAAAGAAAAAAAACAGCGTGGGGTCCCCCTCCCAAACCATACCATACCAGACCCTTTAGGTCTGGTAGGAAACTTAGGAGGGACCCCATTTAAAAAAAAAGCAAAAAAAAGCATGAGGTTCCTCCTAAAAGTCATACCAGGCTCTTTAGGTCTCGCTTCGGCTGACCTTTTCCCCCGCTGCGGCTGGAGCATACGCGTTCGGTTCAGCTGAGCTGCTCGGCTGCCTTCGGCTGCTGTACAGGCTATTGTGAATAGCCTGTTGTAATAGACGAGCACTGCGGGGACCGGGTGCGGGTGGCCGTCGCGGTCATGCGCAGGCGCAACGAGGATCAGTAGCCCCAGTTTGCCGTCAGAACGCGGTGACGTCTGGTGGTGCTCTCCGTCGTCGCTTCGCGCAGGCGCGCCGAGGTCTTCCCGCATCTCACCCCTCAGAGCCGTCTAGATAGGGCGCAGGCGCGCCGGGAAGCTCCGCCCCTTCAAGACGCAGCTCTCGGCATAAAGCCGAGTCACGGTAGTTGATCGGCGTCTTTCCGTTGATCGTGGAAGGACGCTGATCAACTCAGCGTTCCACTCGCCTCAACCCCACCGGACCCAGTACGTCCTTTGAAGACCGCAACTACCACCAAAACCGCAAGTAACCTGGGCTAAGCAAACCATAGCCCCAGGTCTTCTAGGCATAACCGTCTATCTAAATCAGTGCATTGCTCTCGCCTGTTTCAATATACTGAATCTATCTAAACCATTGCATTGCTCTCATCTGTTTCATTATACCTGAACAACCTGAGTACTACTGGCCGCTGTGTTTAACACTGCCTGCTGTGTTTGAGTCTGAGCCTGTGCATTGCTTTCACCTATTACGATATACTTGTACAACCTGAGAACTTATTCCTGCTGTGTTTAACGCTGAACCTGTGCATTGCCATCACCTGTTGTTGCATACTCAAAACCAATCGTTTATTACTTCCTGCTACAAACATACTTGTGCCGGTAGTTCCCATTCCCTACTGTGTATACGGGGCGTGATGTACCCCAGCCTCCTAAACGCCTAAACATACAAAACTGGGCAATCCAGGGAGGAGCTGCTAATCTGATTCCCGTTCCTTTAACCCTCTCTATTCCGCAGTTGCGATCCATAGAGGGTATTCGACCCTCGCCCAAGACGAGCATTACACCTGTACAGCAGCCCTTCGTATGCTGTGCTGTCATTGAAGGACAACAACTGGGCGGAGCCAGCTGTGACATTACGGATGGCTCCGCCCAACTGTTTACATGTAATGACAGCTTAGCATCTTCCAGGAGGTTGTCTTTCGCGGGAGATCAGTCAGCTTTGGTCGACCTTTCTCCCGCGCTTCAGGTGTCACTATTCTATGGCTCAGCCAAGCCTAAGCATACGCGTTCGGCTCGGCTGAGCCATTCAGCCACTTCGGCTGCTCTACGGGCTATTGTGAATAACCCGTACAGCAGGCCTTCTGTTCGACTGAACCAAAGGGCTCAGGCAGCCAAAGCGAGCCAAATGGATTAGCTGAAGCTGTGGATGTATCCTTCTGCTCTTTGTTGAGCGGTAAAAACTTTTAAAGGATTGCCTATGTGCAATTTTGTGCATGGTAGTTTTTTGAGATTTTGCGAGTGCATTCAGTTTCAAGGCTTGACATGTTGGGTATCTATTTACGTAACGTGACCCTATCTTTTATATTATATATTGTATAATAATACTATTATTAATAATAAAAAAACAGTGGTGATTAAATACAAACAAAAGAAAGCTCTATTCATCCCCAAAAAAGATATAACATTTATTTTGGTACAGCGTTTCATGACTGTCTAAATGTCAGTCAAAATACATCACTGAATACTAGACATGTGCACCGGCAGAAAATTTATTTCGTTTTGTTTTGATTCGGATCTTGCGTTATTTTGTTTTTCGGGATTCGGGTCTGAAAGTTAATTCGTTTCGGGATTCAGATTAGGAAGAAATTCGTTAGTGGTAGTCTGTTCGAATTTTTTGTTCCGTTTTCATTTCATTTCGTTGCAGCAAAGTGACATTAAAATGTTTTTTGTTGGGCCACGAGATTAAAGTCCAATTTTTTTTTTTACATATATCTACTGCTATTAGGTAGATATATGCAAAAACATTTAAAAAAATGTAAAAAGTTGCCAAATAGGTAAAAACCTACCACTGTCTCTGCCGCTCGCTACGGGCTGTAGAACTGTAGCTTCTCAAGCGGCTGTGCAGGAGGATGTGGATATCACTGGCAGGAAGAAGGCGTGAGCTACTGTGAAAGTCAATGCACCCAGCCATGAGCATGCAAGTCGGACTGATTCCGTGGGACAGGAAGAGACAGCAGTCTGCAGAGGATCAGAGACCGACCCCAGTGCTGGAGGGACTGCTGGAAACTGCTTGAAAGAGGAATATTAGGGCATCACTTAAAGTAAGTCCTTACAGCAGCATGGGTGGTCACTTTAAGATACCATTGCAGACTGCACACAACATAGGACAGCACTGGATTTTTTGGCAGGATCAAGAGGTATTTTTTTAGCACTTATCAGACAGACATAATACTTTCAATGGTATATTTATGGAAAAATTAATGGGAGTTCATTGTTAGGATTTACATGGACTTTATTAAAAAGAGATTTAAGATTACTGAAATATAGGAGATATCAAGTGAGAACAAAACTAGAAACCAGCCCATCAAGGACACAGGCTGACTCCATATACAGGGACTGAATGAGCACAACATACATAAATATTCTGGAACCATCCTGTAGGGACTTACAAATAGATTTTCTCAGTAAAAGATCTATCATCCTAAAATATAGTAATATTGGAATTCTTTAAAAAAAAAAAAAAAATGTTTCATCCAAATATTTTAATTTTCATATTGGTCACAATAGCAGTTCTCACTTCTGTATTCCTCAGACTGTATATTAGAGGGTTCAACATGGGTGTGACGGCAGCAAATAATACAGAAAATATATAATCCTGTTTATTTACCAGATCGGAGGATGGCCCCATGTACATGCAAATAATGGTTCCATAGAAAATAAGGAGGATTGTGAGATGAGAAGTGCACGTGGAGAAGGCTTTCCTTCTTCCTTCATTGGATCTAATTTTTAGAATGATGGAAATTATTTTACCATAAGATATGAGGCTGAGTAAAAATGGACAAAGCCCAAATAAGAAAGTATCTACAAATATTAGGACACCGAGACCTCTGTCTGTGCATGCAATTTTAGCAAGGGCTTTAATCTCACAGTAGAACTGTTCAATTGCATTGGAATGGCAAAAAGTTAATCCTGAAACATACAATGTTACACACGTTGAATTTCCAAAGCCAGACAGCCACGTGCCTGCTAAAATAATAATACAATTTCTTTTGCTCATAGTAGTTTGGTAATGCAAGGGCCTGCAAATTGCAACATAACGGTCAAAGGCCATAGAAGACAGTAACGTAATTTCAGTGCTGGCCAAAAATAAGAAAAAGAACAACTGAGTGAAGCATTGTATAAACGTTATTGAATGTTTCCTTGTCAGCAGAATGTCCATTAGTTTGGGCAGAGTGACTGTGATGTAACAAATGTCGACTGTAGATAGATTGCATAAAAAGAAGTACATTGGGGTGTGTAAATTATTTTCCTGAACTGTAACTTTAATGATTACAAAGTTTGCTAGTACACCAACCAAATAGAGAATGAAGAAAATCAAAAAGAAATACGGCAAAGTTTCAGGATAAACAGGAAATGAGGTCAGGTAAAACTGTGTGAAAAATGTTTGATTCTCCATCACAACCTGCCAAGAAAGGATCACACATGCACTCAATTAATGTGCTAGAAAAGTGAAATTGTACTACCAATAAAGTCCTTTTGGGCTTCCTGGCTTCGGGAGTTTAAAGTGACACTAAACTCAGAAGTAAAATCTTAAGAATACATTCAGGTACCTTAACTATTAACAAAATTGTATCTTATTAGTGTATCACTCGACTGTAGATCCTCAAATCATCTCTGAATTGGTGCTGACACTGTCCTTCCTTATGGAGGGGGGCTACTTTTGTTCCCCATGGTCCCTGTGTGTGTTATAAAGTTGGCACCGCTCCATGTTCACTACCTGGATGGGCTACAATCTCATGTTAAGTTTACTCATTTGTATTGAGGTTGTAGTCCATCCCGGGAGTGAGCTTGGAGCGGTGAATACTTTACAACACACAGGGACCATGGGGAACAAAAGTAGCCCCCCTCCAGAAGGAAGGACAGTGTCAGCACCAATTCAGAGATGATTTGACAATCTACAGCCGAGTGATACACAAATAAGATACTATTTGTTAATAGTTAAGGTACTTGAATGCATTTTTACGATTTAACTCCTGAGTTTACTGTCACTTTAATATGTTCAGACACCAATTGATGCCCGTATTGTTTTTCTAGGGGTTGATTTTCTAAAGGCAAATAGGCTTTTCATTTTGCATGGGAATTCTCCCTTGGTTAGTGAATGTGGTGAAAATTTACTTGGAAAGAATACCCAATCACATGCAAGGAAAAAAAACCCCAGTATTTTTGCTTGCACATGCTTGGATGATGGAAGTCAGCAGAGCTTCCTTTGCAAAGTAAAAAGTGAACAGCCTGTTACTTTAGTAACTTAACCCCCATGAGCCTAATCCCAAATAGGTTAATTGCCAGCACATCATTTGATTTTTAAAGTTAATTCACATTAGAATTAACAATTTACAATTAGACTTTACAACTAGCAAATCACACATGAAACTAACATATGCAGGTAGTAAGTTTTGTTTTTCCCCAGCAAGGAAACTGTAATAATATTTGAGTTAGCTCATTCACATTGCACAACACAGTTGTACTAAAAAAAGAAGTAATACTTTTACAACTTGCACTAGTAGCTGAATTTTTAAAAAACTATTTCGGGGGTCTACCCCCTTCTTCTAGTTCTACACAATATTGATAACTGTATCAGTACTGCTTAGGCCTAAAACAGGGAGTAGATCTTTATAATTCATCCTCAAAAAGTTAACTGTTGTCTTGGTCTCGATATTGACCACCTAGGCAAAGAAAAATAGAAATTGTTATTGGTATAATTTTAAAATCTTCATTTGTATTAAAGTTTTAATAGATAGATACAAATAGATACAATCACACACGTAGAAACATTATCTCTGAAAATTCTAATAATTTCTGCGTCAGTTCTTATTCTGGGTCATCTAATTTTTTGGTTTAGTTTAGAAACATTTAAACTGGCTTGTAGGTATTTGTAATCCTCAACAGTCTACTGTGTTTAAGTCTATGCCCAGAGAAATGTTTGGTTGACTAAATTAATTCCTGCCTTGCAATATTGTATCTGAAGGGATTGATCAATATACTTACATCGTAAGCGTGTTTACCAATATGAAGGAATATTCTGTATTTATAGTTTTCATCCCATAGTCACACAGTACAACAAATCAGAATCTAGTCTCCAATGGTATAATTATTTGGAGGATCATTATGTTTTTCATATGAGTTTGGGCTAAGCCTAAGGGACATTTTTTTCAGTTAGGGTAATAATTAATACATCTTAATTTTAAACAAACAAAAATATGACACTTTTTATTTGTTCACAAGTCAAACTGCAAGCAGGCTGGGTTCGGGTTAAAGCTCATCCCTAATCGCTACTAGAGATGTGCAAATAAATAAAAATAGCCATTCTTTTTATTTGTTCTACTAGATTGTAAGCTCTCACAAGCAGGGCCCTCTACTAAAATGCATCTGTTCTTTAAACATGATAGAAATTTAGCCCACTGGGTCTTCTTTTGTAAATGACCAATGTCTTTAGTCTGTAAGAGAAAGCTCCATCTTTAGCAAGGGAGTAAGTGGAAGGAGATGGGAGTGGGATGCCTGTGAGGGGTATGTGTAGTCAGGTGAGTAAAAATTATTGTTCATACATACACACACACATTTTAACAGGAGGTGGCACTCTGAGCTCCTGTTTACATTTACTCCTTCTGTTTTAAAAAGTCTGTTGTTTACAGAGCTCAATAACACATCCTAAAATGTATACACACAAGGGAAACAGTCACAATGCTAATCCTTTATTAGACAGCTCCATCTGAGGGTTCAAAGAAAGATAGCATGCCTAATAGGATGCCTGCTGAGCTGTCTTTTTGGACAAACCATAGTTCTCTGAAAATCCTTTATTATGCATTAAAGGTTTATTTGTAAAACAATGACTGTGTACATACAGTGAAACACATAAAACATCAGTATAGACATATAGAATACCTAACATCTGGGCAAAAAGATGAAAGGTTCTTTTTTTCTTATTGTAATATTATTTTAACACTTTCCCTCTCCTATTCCTAGAAAATCTCAAGCTCATGCAATTTTAATGGTGCCCATGTATATTGACCTCACAGTTATAGACTATGGGGTCTATTCACGAAGAAGCCGAAGGATCTAGCCGTAGCTTCGGCTGATCCTTCGGCTAGCTTCGGCCCCAGGACCCCTTTGGTTCAGTAGAACCGAAGGGCTGCTGTACGGGCTATCCATGAAAGCCCGTACAGATCCCGAAGTCGGCCGAGCGGCTCAGTCGAGCCATAGGCATATGCTTCGGCTCGACTGAGCCGAGGTAAAAGCCGAAGCTGGCCGAGCGGCCGGCCCTTGGCCAGCCGACAGCCTGCTTCTGACAGCTGGGCGGAGCCAGCCGTGATCATACGGCTGGCTCCGGCCACTTGCAGAGAGATCAGCGTCCATGGTTACCAGCTAACCAGGGACACTGATCTCCAGACAGCCCAACTCTCCCGGGCGCTCCACAAGTCTACCGCTCCCGGCCGCCAAGGAGAGAAACACTGCTTTTTCTTTTTTTTTTTTTTTATTCTGACATGGAAAAAATTTCACCATAGGAATGCATTGCTAGATTCCTATTGGCTATTTCAATTTGCAATAGCCAATAGCAAATTAGCTATTGCACGCGCATACTGCTGCTGTCAATCAGCAGAGGGGACCTGCAGTTCTCCATCAGGTCCCCACTAGTGATTGACAGCAGCAGAGGGCGGGTGCCATAGCTAGTTTGCTATTGGCTATTGCAAAAATTGAAATAGCCAAAAGGAATCTAGCAATGCATTCCTATGCGAAAATTGTTTTTTTTTGTTTCTTTTGACGGCAGCAGAACCACCGGTCAATAGAAAACAGTTGGGCGGAGCTAGCTGTCACTGCTAGCTCCGCACAATCGTTTTCTATTTGTTCTTTTCTACTTTTTTAACAATTTTTCTGTTCTGTTTGGACCCACAGAGGGACCGAGCAGAACAGCCGAGCCGAATGCCGCTCAGCAGCATTCGGCTATTCACTCACTGCTGTTCGGCATCTATAAGAATAGACCGAACAGCAGCGAGTAGCCTGCCAGAGGTTTGGCTTAGCCGATCCAGATGTTGGATCGGCTGAGTCGAACTCCTTCTGCAATTCGGGCCGGCTGAGCATGTTCGGCCGACCTGAAGCGACGCAAAGCGACCCGATGTATGGCTGATTGCAGCTGATGTACGGCTGAAATCAGCTGTACCAGCCTTAAGTGAATAGCCGAACAGTGTTCGGCTCAATTCGCTTCAGGTCGGTCGTTCACTCGGCTGCCTACGGCAGCTTAGTGAATAGACCCCTATATGATCTAAACACACCTCACATTTTTATTAGACGGGAGTAATTTTAGTTTCTGTCTGTTTACCCATTGAAGGGATTCGTCATTACTTCCTGTCCTTACAGGAAGTGAGTGTAACTCTCCCCATTAAGGGTGCAGAAGCCATTAATGACTGACAGAGGCTTGACCCTTCTCCACTACATCCAAATGAAAATAAAATATGTTGGCTTAGGATCCTAAGAGTGCAGGTTTGCTCTGGAGTTGTAAAGTCAACTTAGTCCATTCCATATTATTGCTTTTATAGCTACCTTGCCCTAAGTGGGGTGACTACTTAAATTTAGTGTGCTAGGACTGTATCCGGTCTAGCTGATTGTATAGTTTATGCTCATTTGGTTTTCCCTAAAGATTCTGCTATTGCAACCATTGCCTGTTGCAGGGTGTAGTCTTAACAAAGACCAGAGCAACTAATAGATGATATTATGGATATCTGTGTCTCTCCAGCCAACCACTAGAGGTTTCATGGCCAATAGTGCAAGCTGGGAGAGGGCATAAATATCTGGGTCTGACCATGTGAAAGTGTTTTTCTCCCCCAGGCCTCCTGCATGATGAGTGTGCTGTCTGACCAGGCCTGAAGTCTCCAGGTGTTCAGTTGTGGACAGAGTCGGTGTTCCTGGGATTCCTGGGATGGAAAGCCAGGGAGTCTGCTGGAGGTACCAGAGAAGCCAAGATGGGCTTGAACCTCGTAGGGAGTCTAGTGTCAAAGGAGATCTCAAATATGTCTGCCAACCAGCTCTCTAACACAATCTCTAACACAATCCCACCACATTCTTAGTTTTAAAGGTCCTTTGCACTGTGCAGCAGGGAAGCATTCAGTGAATCAGGAGTTCTGTGTCACTTAGATATCTTCATATCCCTAACCCCCTCTCTCCCTGTTTTGCTGTTCATGGTATAAAGTATTATAAAATCCTTAAAGTGACTGGATTTTGCTTTTCAGATCCCACATACCGGCTAAGGACTCATACCTGAGGTGAAATGTCAGCTCTTCCTGCCCCCAGAAGTCACTACACTTTAATTTCTATATTAGCATAACATGATTAGTGATGTTATTGTCATTTATTATCAAGTTTGTTTTGGCAAGATGAGTTTATGAGATGTTTTTATATTTTCTTTCTTTATTCTTTTTATTTCATGCAAGGCATGGACTTCAACAATATATGAATTATAGCATTCTTTATATCCTTGTTTCTCAAACTATAAATCAAAGGATTCAGTGCCGGAGTGACTGCTAGATAAAACACTGCAAAGATCTGGTCCAGCTGCTCCGAGTTCTCCGATGGTGGTATCATGTACATGCAGAGTAATGTCCCATAGAAGAGCAGCAGGACAGTGAGGTGTGAGGTGCAAGTGGAGAAAGCTTTCTTCCTTTGGCCCACGGATTTCATTTTTAGAATATTGGATATGATTTTAGTGTAGGACATCAAAATAAGCACGAAAGGGCAAAATCCCATGAACAAGGCCTCAATAAATATCATGGTCTGAAATTCATTTTTATCACCACAGGAAATCTTTGTGAGTGTTTTAATGTCGCAAAAAAACTGATTGAGGTTTGTAGAGCCACAAAAAGATAAACGGGATGCAAATATTGTAACAAAGAGAGAATTTGAAAATCCAGAGACCCAGCAACCTGCCACCAGAAGATAACACATTCTATTGTGCATGATCACAGTGTAATGTAATGGTCTGCAGATGGCGGTGTATCTGTCATATGACATTATGGTCAACAAACAAATTTCTGTGCAGGCCAAAGATGTGAAGAAATACATTTGCGTATAACAAGCTGTGAATGAAACTTTATTATTTCCTGTATTGATGATGTCTAACAGTTTAGGAAGGGCAACAGAAACATACAATACATCGACAGATGACAGATTACATAAGAAAAAATACATTGGCTTTTGCAGATGACCATCCAGAAATATGACCATAAAAATAACCGTATTCCAAATCAGAGAGATGAGATAGAGAAGCAAAAATGTGGCAAATAACAAAAACAATGGTCCTCCATATTGGGAAATTGCTATAATGTAGAAATCAATCTGGTGTGTCTTATTCTCCATTAGGTTGAAGATTTTTATGGGTTTGCCACATTGCTGTTGCACATTTTCAAATATACTAAAATGAATACATTGCAATGTTACTTAAACCTCGTATAAATTATTTATTGTAGAAATTAGCTAAATCTAAAAAATACATTCAAGTGCCCTAACTATTAACAACAATGTATCTTATTTGTGTATCACTCGGCTGTAGATCTTCAAACCATCTCTGAATTGGTGCTGACACTGTCCTTCCTTCTGGAGGGGGGCTACTTTTGTTCCCCATGGTCCCTGTGTGTGTTGTAAAGTAGTCACCACATAGTGGTGAGTATGTGGCGGACTACTTTCTACATAATGTATAAGTATTTAAAATAACTATGAATCCTTATCTAAATCTAATCTATATTTAACTATGATGAGTATGTAAGAGTCGTCTTGGTCTGAAAGGGTCTAGCTAGCAAAAATAATTAGATAATTTACCTTCATTTACAAACAACACAATTTTCCTTTTCCTGATAGAAAGAAACTGTTATGAGTACACGCATGCACTGAATTTATTTATCTTTGAATGTGAGTATCTTATTCTTCAGGGAATGTAAATCCTGGTGGGATTTACTTGGCATCTAAGAAAAGTTGTTTCTTAATTATTGGATACAATTAGCATTCATATATTGCAATTAAATAGCATGCTGCACCTGTGTCTATGTAAATACTGCATATACTGTGGGTATATATATATAT